GGCGGGAGGGGGGGCCCCGGTGGCGGCGCCCCGCTGAGCCGCGGCTGTGGGGCCTGTCCCCGGCCGTTGTGCCAAGGGGTGGCTCGGTCTGCCTGGTACAGACCGAAACCGGGCACGACTCGGCCAAAACGGCTTAAATGCACGTCTTCCGAGATTTCCGTTATGAAATAAGAAATAGGAAACCAGGGAAAATCATAAATAATGATCTGGGTAATTGCAAATGGTTGGGGTGCTTGTTGATCAGTACCTTGCTCATATGAACGTGTGTTCAAACTCGTAGTACTTTTTTGCCCTCGTGAAGCAGGTCTAGAGTGGATATTTATTAACGTTAAAATAAATGAAACCTGTAAAACAAGTGCTGCCCTACAGCTTAAGCCGTATCTGCAGAACTGGGTGTTTAGGGTCAGAGTAAGGTGGAATTTTAATCTGATTCCAGGAAACAAACCTGATTAACCCATCAATTTACCTCCTTGCTGCTGTTTGGCATTCTCACAGTGAACATCTTTCCACCATAGAAAAAGACACCAACGGAGATGCTTTGTGGGTTTGGTGTTATCCGTCCGTAACAGCTGAACTGAGGAGTCTGTTGCTGCGAAAATGCTGCCTTACAGATGAAAATAAACTGCTTCACACGTTTGTGTTTGGCCAGTATAAAAAGTCATGGTTCTACATCACAACTGTGGAAGTTCAAGATTCTCCAGCTTTGAAAAAGGTAGGACTCATCACATTGGGGAGAATTGGGTACCTGCATTGGTAGAATGCTGAGAGAAGGGGAAGGGGCTCTTGTGTGCTCACAAATGCAGTTGCATTCCCACAGCAGAATGTTGCCTGCCTTTCCTCACTTGCATCTCCTATGAAACTTAAAGGTGTAAATAAATAAAAATAATGTGTCCCAGTGCTGTCTCCGACGGTGGCGGTGGGAGATGCTATTTAAGGAAGACACATGAGCCTGGTCATTGTCTGCAGACTTTTGGTGTCATACTGTCCCAGCCCACAGTCATTCGATTAAGGAAGTTAAAGAGGTTTCTCTTTGTGGGCCTGCGATCTCTGCATTTTTTTCCAGCCTCTTTCAAAATGCATTGATGCTGTCTGCCTCCACAGGCTCCTTTGGCAACAAATTCTGAAAGTATCCTATCGGCAGTGGGGAAAAAAAGATGCCTTTCTTTATTTTAAAATAATCTCATGAGATTAAAGGAAAGCAATTCCTATAGAGTAGGTTAAGCAAAAGACAGTAGGTGATAGATCTGGCTCAGTGGAAATGAGTCACATCAGAAATTCGTTAACCAGACCTTTTCTGCAGTTAATAACTTGGATCTGCTGCTATGGCTTATTGTTTTCTTAATTGAAACACCTCGTCAGAGGACTGCAGTAAATTCAATAATGTGAAAAAGACTGTTCATATGGGGTCACTAAATAAACTGTATTTTTCTGTGTGTGTGTGTCTTACCCAGGTGACCCACTTCTCCATTGTTCTGACGGCCAAAGACTTCAACCCAGAGAAATACGCAGCATTCACTAGGATACTGTGTAGGTCTGTATAAAAGCCATTTTGAGGTGCTGCTGTGTGCATGTTTAGATCTTGCCAAGGCAAAAGATTAAATTTCATTGTGTTGTGTTTGCGTTTGATCTAACAATCTGCTGGAAACTCAGTCCTACAAACTGTGAATCAGATGATCTAAATCCTTGATTTGAACAGTGCAGTAAGTGTTGGGTGGTCAGGTGCCCAGAAGATTTTAATGTGTCTTCTCCAGACACCACCACATCCCACGCACTTATTTTCTCTGAGAAAATATTTCTGAAAAGCATAAATATTTAGGAGGACGTCAGTGCTGTGTAGTTGAAGGTGGACATCTTTGTGCTATGTTTTTATGTTGTAAATGTTGGTTCTTTCATAAAAATGGAAACTTAAAAATAAAAATACAAGGTAGCTTTCTTATCCTAAAAGACATGTTTTTATGTGCATGGTGAAAGTAAAAATACAAGGTAGTTTTCTTATCCCAAAAGACATGTTTTTATGTGCATGGTGAAAGACTTCTTGTTTAGTATTTAAAACCTCAACCAGGTGTCCAAAATAAGAATTCCTGCCAATAATACTGCTATTTGTGATACTGTGATTAATTATGGTTTTTTTCCATATGCCTGCTGGGACTGGATGCAGTCTAAACACCAGACTCTCTTCTTTTCACACAGAATCTACTTGAAGCATGGAAGTCCAGTTAAAATGATGGAGAGTTACATTGCAGTCCTTACAAAGGGCATCTGCCAAAGTGAAGAGAATGGGTCTTTCCTCAGCAAGGATTTTGATGCCCGGAAGGCTTATCTTGCTGGTTCCATCAAAGGTTAGTTAATATCAGAAGTCGCTATTCTGATTTCTTCTGTACAATGTAAAACAGAATCCAGTTTTCATACATTCTTCAAGTAAATAGTGCTAACAGTATTATCTGTGCTGTTACTATTAAGCTTCTTGGAAAAATAAATCATATTAACAGCATGTATATCTTCTATAAAATATTTTTCCCCTCTTTTCTAGATATAGTATCCCAGTTTGGAATGGAAACTGTTATCCTATATACAGCACTGATGTTAAAGAAGAGAATTGTAGTGTACCATCCCAGAATAGAAGCTATCCAGGAGTTTACCAGGTACTTTGTCAGTCCCTACCTTCCCGCCCACCAAAGTCCAACAAATTTTGAACCTTCTTTGAGAGAAATGCCCATACTTAGGGGGGGAAAAATAATCTTAAACCTGTATGTTGAAATCCTGCTAAATCCCTCTTAAGGCTTTAGCCACATGTTACATCAACTTAGAGAAATTTAACTGTAGAATGAGTGGTAAACTCTGCTTGTACTTAGAGCAGAAATGTCTGCAGTTCACGTACATACATGCCAAATGAGACCTTGTCATTACTAGTTGTTTTTTTTTTTTTCTTATGACATGCATTTCATACTGTGAAACTTTAATTAGCACTAATCTACCATGTGTCAAATACCAATCTCATTTCCCTAGGACTTTGCCTGCTTTAGTGTGGCATCGACAAGACTGGTCAATTCTTCATTCGTATGTGCATCTAAATGAGGAGGAAGTGGAAGCCTTAAAAGCCTGCACAGGTAGGGATAATTTATTAATCAAAAATATAAAGCAAGTTTAATTTCAGTTTCTATTGCTGCAAGGTCTTGCACCAACCAGTGCTCTTTGGGAGAAAATAATGGTTACTTTGCTATGGTTAAAAGTTAAATGGCATCATTTTCTTTAGAAAAGGGAACTAAATAACTATGTCAGAAGATAACTGCTTCATCTGGTGTTTCCGGGTGTGTTTGCATCAGTCTCCTCCTAACTGCAGATGCAAAGCAGCTTTGAGACTTTTTTGATATTGTGATCAGAGGGACTGGAAGTTTTACTGTTGTATAGAAGCAGCTCATTTTAGATAAGCTACGTTTTTTTTCCTCAGTTTCTACCCTTGGCTAGTAACTGAATTTTTTTTTATTCAGTTCCTAACTCTGAAGGTCCAAATTTTTATGCTGCCTACTGCCAGTGAAGCCTCTGGCTCGTGATCACGAGTCCGATCTGTGTGACACATGGCTGTGTGTGCCTCGTACTTAACACAGGGTCCAGGAAGAGGCCCTTGGTGTATGCAAAGGTTGATGTGACTCATCGAGTGGCAATGGAGAGGCTGCTCTGTATGGAATGATGAGCAAGGAGACTACTCATCCTCAGTATTTCTGCCGCATCGCCGACACAGCTTGTTTGGTTCACTAAACATCTTCCACAGAGAAAAGCTGCTCTGAAGTTTGCTCACCTGGCGTGCTATAAATAATAAAATCTGCTGGTTTTATTCCTCCTTTCCAGGCTAATACTGACTTAGACAGTGACAAGGGGCTCCTGAGTGGAGATTCTTTTAAAGAGGAAGTTCAGTGCTTTTTCATTTGCAAATGAATAATTTTAGTAGCAAGGTAGAGAGTTTAAAATTTCAAATTCATAACCTGTTTGTATCACACATTGTGTTAGGGATTCATCCATGATCAAGGAAATTCTAGAAGCTGCTTTTTAAGCTCATCAGAAGCGGAACATTCTGCTGGACTCGCTCATCTGATGACTGATAAAGTCAAGAGAGCAATCTCTTGGATACGATGAGTATTGTCAAATACTCTTAGAACAGACTTTAGGACTATGATTTTCTACGATATCTCAGTTTGGTTTCATTTATGAAGATCCTAATCTTGCCAACATTCTGCTCTCTAGGTTACATTGCTGGATTTACAGATTCTGAAGTGAGCAGCAGACCAGACCTCTATGACGTGTATGTGAACTTGGCAGACAGCGAGATCACTATTTCCCCTGTAGTAAAAGGTTGGTTGCTTTTTATATTTTGGATTTAGAGGCCATGTATTTGAGAGGTGATAGTAATTGCTGAAATCTTGCTGTAGGTCACGCAATCTTGATCCTTCTTCCATCCAGGTTCTAGGATTTTGCATGGCAGCCGTGAAGAGGACTCCTTGTTTTGGCTTGTTATTTATATGCATTTCTAGATATCACAGAAATGGTCATTTTACGGGAATGTGTGCTTTTTCTTTTTTTCTCTTACTCAGAGGCAATGACAATGGGAAAACTTCACAAAGAAATTGGACAACTAATTGTTCAATCTGCAGAAGATCCAGATAAATCAGACAGCCAAGTCATTAAGGTTAATATTTTGTTTTTAAATCTAGTTGAATGGCTTCTATTGCCAAACCTTGGTAGATGGGGGGGGAGTAGGAGGAAGATTATCTCTGAGAATCAGTCAATCTCTCTACAAATGAGCATTTTTATTCTTTGTACAGGTTTTTAAGGATGACATACTTGGTTTATATTATCTCATGGATAACCACATTGCTGAAGAAACTTTAGAAATTGTATTGATTATAAGGCTTCCAGTAAAATCAGTTTCCCGGTTTTATTCTACACAGCATGTATTTTGCTAAATACCTTCTCAATAATACTGTCAGTACCTTTAAAAAACTCCTACCAAGGAATGGCTTCTCAGTTGTAAAGCCTGATTTTTATGATGATGGGTTTTTTCACTTCCTCCCCTGTCTAATAAACTATTAGACATTTCATGACTGAGGGTGTCAGTGAAAAGAGCTCAGTGAGGGCAGAGAAAGGAGCCTGTGGAGTGGCTTTATTCAACATTGCCCAAGAGCAGGCTGAAGAGCTGTTGCAAGTTTACCTAAAAATGGGGTCTTTATTTAAAATGAAGAATTTATTTATAATTTTCTTTGTGTTGTATATTGTTTTTTTTTCTTTTTTTTTTAGTAAAAGCATGTTAAAATATTATAATATCTAATACTGTATTCATGGTTGCTTGTTTTTCTGTTCTTCAAGGATATTTCTCTGAAGACAAAAGAAATCTTGGCTACTTTAGCCTTGCTGACTGAAGTTTCCGATGGCAATGAAAAACCAACCCTTAACTCTGAAGCCCTGAAACAAAAGCGGTTTCCACCAGCTACAGAAAACTTCCTTTTTCATTTAGCAGCTGCTGAACAAATGCTCAAAATCTGATTTTGATGCACTGCAGTGTTGCGGACCAATTGAAAAATACTGTCTTTGCCATACAGCTAGGAATACCTGATATTTTATATGGAAAAATTAAAGGTTTAAGAGTGAATGTCAGATTTACCATGATATAGTGCAGAATATCAGAGCTTGAACTGGAACATACAGAGGTAATATTTGGGAACATTCCTGGTGTCCTTATCTTCCCCAACGATAACTTTGTATACGTGGCTCCCGAATTTCTTATTGCAACGTGGGTGCATATAGAGGTGGTGTGGGTCCATGTGTCCAGGCTGTGCCAGACATTATGGTGCTGGCCGTTTGTCCTGCAGGTTCCAGGTGTCGGCCAGCTCTGTTCTTCTTCAGACTTGTCTTCCTGGGGTCTGGAACGTGGGCTGCAGCACCCGGGCTGTAAAACCAGTGGGGTTTGGATCTGCCAGTCTCTGCACGGGGCTGCACTGAGCACACTGGGGGTCTGAGCACTTGTTCTGGGCTTCCAGGTGTCTCAGCTGCTCGAATACCTGGAAACCCCAAATAAATGGACAAGTTCTCTTCTTTCTACTTGAAAGTGTCTAGGTGTTAAAAAGAATGACTGGGAAAATCTGACGTGGTAGCCTTACTATATAAAGGAAGAGGTATTTTAAAGCTCAAGTGGGAGTTGAGCACCTCTTTTGGACTCTTGCCTTAGAGGTTTTCCCCCTTTCACTCCATCCCATGCTTCTGATGGAGGGAAGAGAGGACAGGATTGCTGTAGTTAAAATGGGGGGGTCACAGACAAGTGCTGCTTTACAGCTGGAGTCTTTTAAGAAGTTGTTGGGGTTCTCCACTGTCCTGGCCATTCATGATAGAAAATCAGATGAGTTGTAGCCTAATGGAGTGGAAATGTTCAGGTGGGCAGGAACCACAGGTAGAGCACCAACCACTTAAACTGCCCAAGCTGTAACACAGGTACTATCTGATGGTGCTCGGTGTGAACTACATGGAGATGGAGACTTTGGAAGTAGTAGTAAAAAACTAGGAAATAGAGAAAATGCAAATTTGCCTACTTGTTTGGTTGCATAGCCATAACTCAAGGAATTTTTTTTTTTATTTTTTTTTTCATTGAGCAACCTGAAACTAACTGCTTTATAGTCTTCTGAGAAGAACTTTGAGTCTTTGTAGGGAAATACTCTGAGCCAAACAAACTGGTTTTTCTTCAGAAATGTCCATGGCAAATCAGGCAATTCTGCAGCAGCACTTTGTTATAAGAAAAAAAAAATAACCTTTTTCCTGGCCTTTGTACAGATAGGCTGTAGCATGTGGTTTTACATAGAGATTTTATACTTATGATTAAAACTTTAGTAGCCAATATTTATACTGTTAAACGATTGGATATTTGCTATTCTGACACAGAGCTCATGAATAACTGTGTGCAAGCAATATTGGTTGGAAAAAGGCTTGGCCTGTTGCTATGTATCATACATTAAGGAAATCTATTTTCGAATGTGGATAAGGAATGTGGTATCTATGTATAAAATGGGTAGTTATTACAGTCAGTAAATGAAAGTGCTTCAGAATAATCCCCTATTTTCAGGGGTGTAAAATTCTACTTAAACACTTTGCAGTTTATATTCTGAACACAGAAGCATATGCTTTTTTTCTTTAACTTGGAGAAAAATACTGCAGTTGCCTTTGTTTACCTCTAAGTGCTCTGCAGCTTTTTCTTTTTTTTCCCTCATTTGCCCGTTAATGGTTTTTCTTATATGGTTCTTTAGTCTTGCTGCTTCTGGTTTGGGACTCAATAGTTGGAATAGCACAAGTGCAAAATTATGCTGAAAATTCCATTTGGGACCTACTTTGAAGTCCACTGAAATGAAAAGTCTTTCACCAAGAAGAACCTGAAGGTGCTCTGTCAGCTCTCTTAACGCCACGGTGTAACTGTGAAGAAATGCACGTAGTTTCTTATTAACAAAAAGCCTTAAGGTGTGTCACTAAGGTAGGGAGGGTGTTGGGGACAAGCACAAAGAGCAGAGGAGCTCAGTTACAAAGTGACCATCGAACGCTTGCTTTGCTTTCTCTTTTGGAAATGGTCAAGTTGAAACTCTTGCTGTTGTGTTAGATCTTGTGCCCTGACGTTTGTGCGAAGCAAATGAAATGTAATTTTGCACTTAAGGAACTGGACTCCTAGCACGCTTGTGTCTATTAAAAAAAAAAATAATCCTGAACAGTCTGCCCTTTAATTTATGTAAATGTATTCTTGAATAGTTGTGACCACTGAGTCACGGGCTGTGGCTCTCAGTTGTGCAATAGTGCCATTAAGCTACAGCTTGGTGTTTCGGTCAGAAATGTGCTGTGCAGTCAAACAGCTTTGTCATCCACATTGATCTGTCAGTGCTGAGAGAGATGCATTGGCCTCCCTCTGTTCAGGACATCCTAAAGATTGTCCTAATGGCCTTGCATTTTCTTAATGATTTTTGCCGCTGTTTCCTCTCAAAAAAATGGTTAAGAATAAACCAGAAAAATCTGCAAGGTCAGGACAGGGAAAGATTTTTGTTTATTTCTCACTTCCCTTTCCCCAGGATGTGCACAAAATCAGATGACACCCTTTCTTCTTCCTCCTAGAAGCAAAGACTGTGTGAAGTGAGATGAAATGTTCGTTCATTCCTTCTCATCTTTGGGTAAACACGAAATGGTGAATGGTAGATTAATACAAATGGATCCTGTTGACCTGCTGGGAGACGAGGCAGCGCGTAGAATAATTGAAAGCCGCGAATTTAAGTGAAAATTGCCTGCTCCTTCCTGCATTGAGGCGTAAGTCACTCCCCGAGCCCTCCACCTTGCCCAGGGCCCATGGAGCAGGTTGGTGGGGTGGTTGCTGTAGCACAACATCTGCACCACGTCTGCAGATAGGGGAAGGTGGATGAGAACAGAGCACAGGGGAGCGGGGTGAGCAGTCGATCCCTCCAGTTGTGGTCTTGCCGAGTCATAAAAAACAAGCATAAGGAAGTTTTTAGCTGCCTCCTTCTGCCATACCCTCCCCTCGGCAGTTCCCTGGCTGGGCTGAGGTCATTCCTCGTGGCTACCAGATGAGAGGAGACTCCAAAAACCAGGCAACAGCTCCTGGTGTTGGGTGTCTGATGGGGTTGGAGCTGCAGTGCAGGGCTCCCTCCCCGCCTCCATCCTTCCTCCTCCACCCCAGGGCCTGCAGGGAGCGAGCGTGGCTGGGCTACAGCCCTGGGGGAGCACAGGGACACCAGCTCCAGCTGGGGAAACGCTTTGATCTCACTATTTCTTGACGTGGGAGTGGCTGATTTACATATTAATTTTTTTCTAAGCAACATGAAAGGGATGTGGAAGCCTCATTGCATGTTCCTAAATGTCAAGATGACGAGCCAGGCAGGTGGGGAACTGCTCCCAAATTGTGCTGTACTGAGGCTGGGGCTTTCCTTGAAGCCGAAAGCTTCCATCTCTTGTAGTTCACCACACCTTAAACTGGTTCCACCACTCACACACTGTCACTGAACACACCAGCCAGCATTAAAGGCAGGAGAAAGACCTGCCTTGGGCTGGGATGTTGTTCATCTTCTGAGTTACAAAGGGGAAGGTTTTCCTACAGGTGTGGACTCTCCTCCCAAGTCCTTCAAACATGATGTTTTTCTTCCGAGTTACAAAGGGGAAGGTTTTCCTACAGGTGTGGACTCTCCTCCCAAGTCCTTCAAACATGATGTTTTGCTGCTTGTCCCTTGTTCCCTTCACTTACCTCATCCCTCTGGACAACCAGGAGGCTGGTCCCGGCTGGTCCAGAAATGAAGTCTCATGACAATTTTATTTCAAGACCAAGGATGCCAAGGCCTTTTTAGCAATGTCTTTCTCCTGCCCTGATTTGGGAAGCAGCTGAGTCACCCAGGGCTGACAATTTAAATGGCAGGTGCCTGCCCTCCTCTTCTGGAAAATTCTGGTTGGGGCAATAGAAACGTTGCTGAGGAGGAGGGAAAGGAAAGAGGCATTTAATAACCCTGAGGGGGCCATGTTTAACGTGGCAAACTCCATCTCGAGTGTTCAGTGAGAAGGTGGTGGCATTTGATAATGGGCAGCTGTAATAACAGAGACTATTATCAGCCCTGTTCCACACGCCTTACTCAGAGTTGTAATGACATCAATTTGCTTAAAACATCCAAGTGCGGTGCCAGAGAATTTATAGCTTGTCTAGTTACCATGGCGATCCAAAGTTCCTGAATGTGTTATCTTCAATTTGTTGGCTTTGCCCTACTGTTGTTTTTTGGTTTTGGTGTTTTTTTCCCCCTCTTTGTTTCCGCTGTGGTTCACGTAACTAGCATTTAAGAACTAGCCGTTCTTAAATCATGTTTAAAAAAGGAGCCGGGGGAGAGGTGTGGGGCTTCATTGCAGAGCCAATTAGTGTTTACTGAGAGTGGAATTAGACCCCTTCTGAGTTTGGTTTGTTAATGTTGGTATGTTATTGGAATAGGATTAATAGAGAAACAGGGGGTCAGAGAACCTGAGTGTCAATGTGAGCTGTTACTAAAGACGTGGAAGGAGATGAACACCTCAGTGAGCGAGGCAGGCTGAGGGAAAAAAAAGCCTCCTTCTCCCTACTGTCCTCCCCAGCTGAGCCTGATGGTATCTCTCCTTCTGCTGTCTCCTTTTGGCAGTTGTTGGAGATGACACGTGGCTCAGCAGGCCTCTGGTCCCCCCCAGCTTTTATGTTGTTGACCCTGATAGGATGTTACTGGTTAAGCCCATGACTCAGGAAGGCAAGGCTGAGTGTCCCCCGCAGAGTCCTTTACCTGTAAAAACTCACACCAGTGGAGCAGTGCAAACCCTCTGCCACCCTGAGGCTCGGCAGCTCACAGCCAGCACCCACACTGTCCTCCTGGAACAGCCTGACAGCCTGTTCCTTAGCCTTCCTACAGCTCCTTAGGACAGGCTGCTGCTCCCCTCTCCTCCTCTGACCCTTCCCTGCTGTCAGTTGTCAGAGGAAGGCTCCAAAAAGGCAGAACTCAAACAAGAAACTAAACTCAACCCCCTACTTCCTGCTTTTGTTTGGTGCCAAAAGCACAGCAGGAACTGTTTTCCTGCCGGCTGTTTTTCCTCACTCTGCTCTG